GCAAGAAAATCCGAACGAGAGAGGAATCAGCAATGAGAGAGGGAGGGAGGATTGGAGTCCCACTGAATGGGGGGGGTAGAGAGAGGGAGAAAGAGAGAGAGAGAGAGAGAGGGAGAGAGAGAGGAGGAGGAGGAGGGGGGAGGGCGGGAGGCAAGGAGGGCGGGAGTCGGGGAGGGAGGCGGGGAGGAAGGGAGGGCAGTGGTGTAGCGGTGTACTACGACGCGCTCTGCTAGTGTGGTGTTGGACGCCGTGCGAGGTGGACCGCCGCGCGTCGCTCCGGCAGTGTAAGCGCGGGTTGCGTGGCCCAGATGGCTCGCAGGTGGTGTCCTCCGACGGGATCGAGAGTGTGTGTGACGGGCAGTGTGACGAGGGAGCCACCTGGGGAACGCTGTGGCCGGTATCAGTGTGACGCGAGTGGAACTTGCAGGTCTGGTTGGAGAGGAGAGGAGGTGGAGGAAGGAGAAGGAGGGGGAAAGGGGGGTTGGGGGGCCGCGCGCGCCCTCACAAGCTCCCGAAAATCCTGGCCATGTTGTGCTGCTGCTGCGAGTGGCGGAAGTGTCGACCTGGGCCCTTTCGGGAGGCCTTCGCCGCTCCTCGCCGCCTCCCTCGGGCCCTCACGCCGCCGGGAGGAGCAGGGCGACGGCGAGGCAGAGATTCGGTGATTGCGGAAAAGGGAGTGACCTAGCCTGACCTCACTCCCCAGGGGTGAAAGCGAGTAGTGGCACGGGAAGGAAAACCCTAGGAGAATGGCTGTCCAGTTCAAACCACCCACACACCCACACTCCCCAACCGAAGCCCGCCATGAGGCGTGGGGTCTCGGGGAACCAAGCTAACTCTAGCCCCTCCTCCCCCCAGCCCCCCCTTCCCCAACGGTCCACTAGGCCTATGAAGTTTAGTGGCTGTGGTGGGGTGGTGCTGGGACGGCTCGGTCAGGGGGGGGGATGGGAGAGTCGAACAGCGCTACGCAGGCCTACCTTTCCTCCTCCCCCTCGCCCCCTCCTCCTCCTCCGGCTCTTCCCCCTACTCCTCTTCCTCCTCTCCTCGGAGCCGCTGTGTGTGACCCCCACGCTGCTGTTCTGCTGCCTGATGCCTGCCACGCCTCCTAGCAGAGGGGGTGGGGGGAGAGGCCTAGAGCAAGATGCTTCGACCTCTTTCCCGCTCCTTCCTTCGCCCCCTTTCCCAATTCCTTCGTTCCTTCCATCGTCTCTTTCCTCTCACTTAGTAAGCTGCGTACTAAATGCCTCCCCTTCTCCGCTTCCTCCTCCTCCTCCCTCCTTCCTTCTTTCCTTCGTCCTCTCCCTTCTCTTTTCCTCCCTTCCCTTTTGCTCCCTTCCCTCCAACTTACCACGTGGCTCAGCGCTGGTGCAGCGGCCTCGGCTCAGCACACCAACATCACACAGCACAGCACACGCCCAAGAACAAGAACAAGAAAGGGGAAAGGGAAACGTGAAAAAAAAATATCCGTTTCATCAACACTGTGGTTGTTGTCCTAAGATGGCCGTTCTCCTCTTTTATTTTAGTTACGTATGAATATTCACCAATTGCGTCGCAGACTGTGTGGCCGGGATGAAGTCGCATGCCGGAATAAGTGATTGTGAGTGCGTTCCTCCTGCCAAGATCATGAGGAAGGGCAGCAGAAGGAGGAGGAGGATGAAGATGAAGATGAGAAAGATGAGAATCGAGAGTGTAGAGAAAAGGGGGGACTTTGCCGAGGCAGGAGGAGGAGGAGGAGGAGATGGTGTAGGAGGATGAAGACGTAAGAGACGAGGATGGAAATTGAAGAGCGAAGAGACGAGAGCGCGAAGAGCCCCGGTTGTGGGATATCATCCAGCAGCGTTAAAACGCGACCAGGTTAGTAGTGGCGAGTCCCGCCGGTTAGGGGGGGGGTCGGGGGAGGAGGAGGAGAAGAAGAGCAAGGGGGAGGGAAAGGAAAAGGAAAAGGAAAGGGAGGTAAGCAAATGGGAGGGGAAAGAGACGTAAGAGGGACAAGAGGGTGGGGAGGGGTCGGTGGGGGAGGGAGAGGGAGGGGGAGGAGGGAAAGGAAAGGAAAGGGAGGTGGCGTAAGTAGGGGGGGAGGGAGGAAAGGAGGATGGGATGGAGGGAGGGTGGGCAAGGGAGGCGGCGGCGTGGCCCAGGTGGCTGCACTACTGACCACCACAAGGCGTGTGTGACCGTGACGAGGCTGTACGTGTTGGGGGTGGGGGGAGGGGGAGGAGAAGGGGGAGACTATGTGCCCTTCTCCCCCCCCCCCCTTTCCCCCGCCCACTTCCCCAAGCTAGCGATGACGGGTCTCCATGTGCCTATGGACATGATGGGGTGACTGTTGGAGCTTGCTGAGGAAGGACAGGGGGGGGGGGGGGTGAAGAGGGAGTGCCTGCCACCATCATGTGCCCCTCATCCCTTATTTTAGGAGGAAGGGGCAGGGGCAGGGGCGGAGGAAGCCTTCCCCACAGAACAGGCGGACCGGGGCTATGCCAAACGGACTGGGGCTACTTCGGCTACTCCTCCTGCGGCTTGGAGCGGAGGAGCCCGAGCAAGTGGCCAATAAGTCAGGCGATGAATTTTGGATGAGTCACGTGATGAGTCCAATATTCTCCCGGCACGAAGACCTTTTGGAGTTTCGGGTGTGCGCGCACGTGCGAATGAATGAATGAGCGGGCGGGCGAATGAACGGACAAACGAAAGAGGGGGGGAAAAAGGGTGGGAGAAAAAGATGGAAATGGAGAGAACGAGGATGAACAGACAAGCAGAGAAGAGGCGGGGAAGCAAAGGCAGAGAGAGAGAGAGAGAGAGAGAGAGAGAGAGAGAGAGAGAGAGAGAGAGAGAGAGAGAGAGAGAGAGAGAGAGAGGCAGAGAAAGTTTGCAATCTATTCGCATTCAGAGTTTGTTCTGGAACCGTCGTATGTACTCTTTAAGCAAAGGAAATGAACTATAGATTATCTCGCACAGAAGCGAAGCTTGTTATTCTTACACACACACACACACACACACACACACACACACACACACACACACACACACACACACACACACACACACACACACACACACACACACACAGTGAGTATATATATATATATATATATATATATATATATATATATATATATATTTATATATTTATATATATTGTATGTATAT